GTGTTGAGCACTTCTTTTGTGTCTGGGACTTTGTAAGACACTTTCTTCTGTATGATCTCATCCCTAGAGCTCCATGCTCTTTGTCACAGAGCTCCCATGGCAGTGACGATGAGGTGGGTGCAGCGTGTCATGGGCCACTGGCTCTAAGTTGAGGACTTACTAGATTCGTATTTCCTCCTGTTCTGTTGATGAAACACTTGCGGGTGGTCGCAGAAGCTTCCTGCCAGAAAACATTACAAAACTCCTCCAGAGAATGAGCCTGTGCCTTTGATAGAGTGTTGGGGCTGCCTCTGCAGTCCCCACTGATTCCAAGGTTCTGTGAACATCTCCATCTGGTGCCTGGCCCAGCTCTGTGTCTCGGCAGGGGAACCGTAATGGGAAGATGTCCTTATCGGCAAGGCTGAGCCATCACCAGAATCGCAAATGCTAACCATGGAAACAAACTTAGTGGGACTTTGAAAAGTGAAAATGATGCATGTATGCATGAACAATGGACATGGACAACAAAGCTGGGGACAGGGTGGGGAGGGAGGGGTCAGCGGGAATCAGTGGGGAAAAAGGAGAAACATCTGTAACAAAAATAAACAAATTAAAAAAAAGAAAAGAAAAGTGAAAACGGACACTGGAAATCATCAGTGTCAACAGAGTCACGTGAGGGAGCAGAGTGGTGATGGGGAACCTCAACAAAGAGAAAAAGCCAGACATTAGAGCCAAAGCAAGTATAGGGGCGGTCATCATGAGGTTCCAAAAGACAGCTGAATGTGCTCAGGGAAGCCAGCGGTCTGCACTTGCTCCATCACTGGAAACTCCAACAGGAAGGGACCCGTGAACACCCGTGAACGTGCTCTGGAGGAGACCATGACCGTGTATTCCTCCTACCAGAAATCTCCTGGGCACCAATGCGGGAGCTGAGGACGGCTTGATGCTGGAGACAAGCATATGGAAGAGGGAACGTCGGAGAACGCCTGCCCAGAGGGAAAACTGTCCCACTTGATTCTGTGACTTTCTCTCTCAGGAGTCACCTTTATCCTGGGAGTCCAGGGTTTAACACGAAAATCATGCCCCCGCTTGCTGTGATAACCCCATACCGCATTTACATAGTCAGAGAACTTAACTTGGAAAGGACACCAGGAGTTATGTGGTCCACATTCCTCATTTTCAGTTGAAGATACTGAACCCAGGAAGAGAGAGTGACCAGCTGGGGTGGTGAATCAATTGGTGGGGATGCCAGGATTTGTGCCAGATCTCCCAAGCACCAGACCCGTATGCTCCTACTACGCCACTCGCTCCCAGGGGCCTGCTGAGATGCCACAGGAAGGGCTGATTTGGGCACGCTCTGTGCCTACGTGTGTCACAAGTCTGGAGGGATGGCATGGCAGGCAGGAAGGTGCACAGTGTGGGAAACTGGCAGTCTGGCTGCAAGTCCTGGACGCTCCCTGAGCTTCTGCAAGACTGTATCTATTTCACGGGGCTGCCATAACAAATGTCCGCTAGCTGGGTGGTTAAAACAACAGAAATGTATTCTCTCACAGTTCTGGAGACCAGAAGTCTGAAACGAAGGTGTTGGCAGGGTTGGTTCCCTCTGGAGGCTCTGAGGGAGAATCCGTTCCAGCCTCTCCTGGTGCCTGCCAGCAACCCTTGGGGCTCTCTGTCTCACGGGTGCATCGCTCCATCCTTCTCTGCCTTCACGGGACCTTCTCCCTGTGGCTAGTCTCCTGCCTTTCTCAGATGAGGGCACTTATTGGATTTAGGGACTACCCAGGTAATCACGGATAATCTTATCTCAAGATCCTGAAATTAATTAAATCTTCAAAGGCCTTTTTTTCCCCCAAATAAGATCATGTTCACAGGTTTCAAGGTTTAGGATGTGGACATATCGTTTTAGGGGTCACTACTCAACCTACTACAGGGATCTCGGGGGTGTCCCTTTTGCCCCTTAGCACCCCTATATGAAAATAGTGAGGATGGCAAGAACCCATTGACTTGGGATGGTTCTTCACGTTTGCTTGTCTTCGTGGACACTGATGGGCCCCAAAATACAGGTATCAACCCAGCCACCTGTGCCATGCTGACCACCATCCCCCGCAGTCATGAAAGATGCAAATTCAAATTCAAAAAACATTTCTCAACTCTCTAGAACTTCCTTTGACCTGAGACTTTTGAAGGCTGGTTGGGGAAGTTGGCTTGTGGTCAGACCACAAACAGGAGTGCTTTATTAACTCTGCGCCCCACACCTGGGGAGAGGGCATTCAACAGAGCAAGCGTGAAGGATGGCTGAGCCCCGGAAGGCTCGCGACAGGTACAGCCTGTTCAGGGCCAGGGTCAGGGGTCGGCGGGCGAGGCGCTCCCTTCCAGCGCGGAATTTACGAGGAAGCCACAACCCTCCGTAATCAAGATAAGTAATATTTTAATGAATCAAAACTAATGCAAAAAGTCTAGGATGAATAAAATATCAACATTTTAAGAAAAGAAAGAGCCAATCCTACAAGCGCGTGATTCAAATCACTTAGCTCACCCGAATCCTGGTCCTCAGGATCTTGTCTTTATTAAAAATTTTGATATTTTGCTCATCATGGAGTTTTGTATTAATTTTGAATTTAAAAAAATATTGCACTGCCCTGGCCAGTTTGGCTCAACGGTCAGCGTGTTGGCCCTCGGACCAAAGGGTCTCTGGTTTGATTCCTGGTCAAAGACACGTACCTGGGTTGCAGGTTCAATCCCTGGCCCCGGTTGGGGTCGTGCAGGAGCAACCAATCGATGTGTTTGTGTCACATTCGTGTGTCTCTCTCTCTCCCCGCCCCACCTCTTCCATTCCATCTAAAAATCAATGGGAAAATATCCTCGGGTGAGGATTAGCATCAACCACAGAAAATACGCCATGAAGATACTTTTTATCTTGATTACTGGGGGTTTGGGCACTCCCTTAAATTCTGCCCTTAGTCCCAGCTGTGGAACCTGAAAGGACCTGTGTGGGCCCGGAGGGACCAGTAGGGGGCATGAAGGGAGAAATTGTGAGTCCTGTGCAGCTGGAAGGCTCTGAGAGTCTGTTGGGAGGCTGGTCTACAGGACCTCCAGGATAGCCCTCAGGCTCTGACTCCAAGAGGCCGAAAAGCCGCAGGTGTCCCTGTGTGACTTCCATCATCCTGTAGTCCCGGGATGATGTAAGGAATGCTGCCTCTGGCCTCAGAGACTTTGGGGACAGGCACTGGGTCTCCTGGAATTGTGAAAGCTGCCTCAGGCAGCCTGGCTTTGCTCCCATGGCACTGCCCCAGCCTGGGAGGCCCGGGAGTGGCTGCCCACACTGCCGTGGAGTGAACAGCCCCAGGAATAGCCCCAAGGTGTCCCATTAACCGGCACAGCAAGATGGGGGGTAAGGTCAGCCTCCTCCCCAGCCCCTAATTTAAAAAAAGATCAAAAAGGAAAGCCAGTGACCTGGGAATAATTTGTTTAAAGTCGAAATACTTGCTCCAAGGAACTGAAAATATGATCTCCCCAAAATGCACAGCTCACACGTGTGCTCGCCCGCCCGGGCTCACAGCCACGCTCCTGAGGATGACAGTCGTGCCCCCTCTCATGGTGTCCCAGGGCCCCCACCCGGCTTCACGGACCACGTGTGTGATCACTTACATCCCTGAGCTTCCTTAAGTCTCTCGGTTTTAATTATTACACTATACGCCTGCACAGAATTTTTACCTTAGTTTTTGTATTTTCCTCAAATGTTATACTATTTTTAAAGTATTGGGTATCTCTGGACCAAGTATTTTCTAGTAAACTGCAAACTTTGACATTTTAATAATAACACTTCCTGAAATATAATGAGTTGTTGCTCATTATTCAGCATCTCAAAACCTTTTTAAATACCCCTTGATTTCGGTATGAAAGTATTTCTTTCAACCTCTCCTAACCTGAGTGTTTTTCTAGGATCTCTCAGGTGCCAGCATGATCTAAAGAGTGTTTACAAACTGTGTCCTAATGATTTGCCTTTTTTTTTTTTTGACAAATCAATAAACCATTCTTGAAGAATTGGCTCCAATTGAGATTAAATAATGGATAAAAATAATACATACATATTTTACTTTACATGAACTTTGTTCTTTAGATGAAACTGGGTCTGTGAGCACGCTAGAGCTGAGTGTAGAACTGAACAGTCTGAGCTCGGAGAAGACAGAAGAGAATGTGCACCGCCGCACCGGATTCTGGCCGGTAGTTAGCACTGAGAGGTGACTGCCACCATCTCCGCTGGGGCTCGCATCCCCCGACTCCCGATAACCCTCACTGATCGAGAACAGTGTATGTACTTCTGAAATACTTTTGCACGTGCCACATTGCCTGGTTCTCTTGCAGCCCGACTGGATAAGCAGGCCAGGGGTTCGGGACCCCTAGTGAAAACATACAGAGGCCCCAAGGACTTAAGCACCCGCCTAGGTCCTCCTCCCAGATGTGACAGTACCAAGGTGCCAGGCACCATGTTAGCCATCTTGCACAACCCGCTGTCGGCTCCCTTTTAGCCTCAGAGGAGGGCATTTCTACCACCGTGATGTAGAAGAGAAAACAGTGGCTGGGAGAGCTCAAGGTCACAGCTGGTAAGTGGCAAAACTGGGGTTCAAACCAGGCTGGCTGGTCTACAGCACGTTTCCCCAAGTCTACTGGAGCATCTTTCTTCTCCAGGATGCCAGGAGCATCGGTGTGTTTGAGAAATGATATTCCAGGTCTGCGGGGCACAGGACAAAACCGTAAGAGTCTCAGAGGCAACACTTGTAGTTGGTCCTGTAAAGGCCACAACTCCACCCCTTACATGTGCACTGTTTACCTTATTTGATGCACACGGTTTCTTAGCAGGGCATGCAGTAGATGGCTGGCTATTCCCATTTAATAGACACGTGAAGCTCAGAGAGGTCAAGTGATTTGCTTAAAGACACATAGCAAAGGGTACTTTTTGCCAACATAATCAGATAAGGTGATCAAAGGAGATGGATTTGTGGGCTGAGAAAGGCACTGACCTTTCCGGAGATGGTCTTGATCTGCTTGGAGCTCAGGGGTTCAAAGTCCACGCCAATGTAGCCCTCCATGGCCGTAAGCAGATTCTTCCGGAGACAACGGGATGAGTTGGCTTCTGTATGCACCTGCTCCCACCAGAAAGGCTCATACCAGCCTGGGATGATCCACTGGTATTTGCTACCGTACACGTTCTCATCATATGCCTGCAACAGATGGGTTGACCAAGAAGGCACCAAGAGTTAAACGTGTGTTCAAGGCTGTGTGCCCTGTGAGAGAGGTGTGTATGTTGTGTGTGTGTGTGTGTGTGTGTGTGTGCGCGCGCGCGTGCTTGGGTTGGGGGGGAGCGGGGGGGGGCTCAGTCTTCCTCTTACAGAGGATTTATTAATTTTTCTATTACTTTCTTGGTTTTTCCTCCTCGTTATCTGTTGAGAGACCCAAGGTAGTTTATGGATAACATGTATAATAGAATAATAAACACTGAATAAAAATTAAAATGTAAATATAAATGTAAATATAAATTATTACTGTTTACAGGAGGTAAAGGGAACAGAACACAGACAAGCCGACCAAAGCTTCTAACACTACATGTAATAAGCTGTATATTTCACCAGGAACTCCTGTAAGCGCAAGAGAAAAGGGTGACAAGATGATCTGCATAGCTCTTACGATCAATAAGGGAGAAAACAGCCCTGGCCTGTTTGGCTCAGCGGTTAGAGCATCGGCCCATGGACCAGAGTCCCAGGTTCAGTTCCCGCTAAGGCCACGTACCTCGGTTGCAGTTTGTCCCCGGCCCTGGTTGGGGTCGTGTGGGTGGCAGCCACTCGATGTGTCTCTCTCACATCGATGTTTCTCTCTCTCTTCCTCCCTCTCTCCTTCCCACTCTATGTGAAGATAAATGCAAAAATGTCCTTGGGTGATGATAAAAAAATAAATTATAAACAAGGGAGAAAACACACCATTTCTTCAGGGAAACAAAATGTTTTCTAGGCTTTAACCCACCCACTCCCCCACCCCCCGCCCCACAAATGCCTCATATTAGCCAGCATGCTATCAACAGCATCCCTACAACAAACAGATTTCATAAGGCTATTTTTGTATAGATTTTTACTAAAAGCTGAGATCATAATCTTAAAACACAATCCAGGGGAAGCAATTTTGCAAGGGGCCAAGAAAATTTAATCTACGTATGCAATTTATCTAAGATGCCTCCTGGCAAACTGAGCAGTCTCTCTGAGTCTTTACCCAAAGATCAGTGTGCATAAGTCCAATCCTAACAAAAGTCCCTTACATTTGTATGCTTTATATATATCTTATTTGTCATTCATGTTCATCCTTTGAGGTGGTCCTGGCAGAATTTATTATCCTCATTTTAGAAGTGAGGAAACTAAAAATCAGAGACAGAAAGTCGCTTTCCAAGGTCACACAGCCAGGGAGAAAAGTCAGGCCGGAACCTAGGTCTGCTGACCATTATGCTGCAAAACCACACTGCCTTCCTCCCATTAAAAAAAAAAATCACCAGACTGTTCTACTGGAGCTCTGTTTGGCTTTGGTTCTTATTGTGATGATTTTATATGAGGAAAAGCATACTTTTTGACAGCTTTGCTTCACCTATCAAAACTGGGTCCAGAATGAAGTTTCCAAGTAGATTCAAAGTCCATTTTTTGAAATTCCCCTCTAGTCTTAGCAAAATAAAATGAAACAAAACTTTCTGGCAGCCCCAATCATAACAGGTTGAGGCAAGAAGACAGCTCCACTTACTAGCACATTCAATAAGAGTCAACAGATACAGCGTGAGGACATGAGGTCTTCTAGTCAGGCACAGGGGCAGATTTCCATTCGTGTGCATAAATAAAGAATCCTACTTCGCAGAAATTCATTTATCACAGTAGAGTCTGGAACTGATTAACCGCGATAAACGAGGGCCGACTGTAATCTGAGGACAGAGACCAGGGGACGAAATGAAATGGTTTTCATTTTCTCTGCCTCTGGGAGGCAGCACTGAGCAGGAAGTGAGGAGCCTCGAAGGGATCTGCTATGGCAGCACTTGGACCTGCCAGGGTCCCATGAGGAATTGTTTCTGGTGAGTGAATTTCCGGAAAATGGAAGCTTGGTCCATTTGAATGACAACACACTTTGTTTCAAACATTAGTCGATTTTATGAAAAAAAATTGTCTATGACCTTCTGGTCATATATATATAGTCAAGCAGCACTAGATTCTCGGCCCCACACCAGCTGGGTAACTAGCACACAACGCCTTGGGCCTCACCCTTCTCATCTGCAGTCTGTGGAAAGCAAAGCCCATCACTGGCCTGTGTAACAGTTAAATGAGGTCCTATGTGCACCATGCCTGTCCCACACTGCACTCGGGAGCACATAGTTCCCTTGTGAACTTCGGTCATTATTATGGGCTGTGGCCAGTGATGCTCCTGGGGGTGAAGAAGACTGGTCCAAACCCCCAGGGGTCCTGGACTATTTTACTCAGAGTTTGGGATCCACTTCCTGTGGCTTTGTCTCTTTTCTAGCACTTGGATCCAGGCAGCCATGTTCCACTGTCACCACATCCCTCTCCTCACTTGGACTCTGCTGCTTTTATACTGCTATGGGCTTGGAAAGCAGGGACTGTGGAAATACGTGTGGAGCAAAAGTCAATAGGTTTTGAGTGAGGGTCTAAAAGGGAAGCAGACTGGACTTAAATACATCATCCACTGTCTAAAGCAACCGTGGCCAGCCCCTGGGCCTCAGTGCCGGTATGCCCACATCCAGAGAGCTGAGGTTGCTGGAACGTGAGCTCTCGGTAGCAGCTGGTATGCTTGGCTGTCTCCCTTACCAGATGGGGGTGCTCCTGGGAGGTGGAGTCTGCTCCCTCCAGGGTCCTCAGTGCTCAGCACAGTGCCTGCTGCACTAAGGTCACCCAACACATGGTTGTGGAGTGACGGAATGGACACATTTCCAGTTTACTTGGTCACCTTGGTTTTCATTTTCTCTGCCTCCGGCAGGAATGTGGTCTCAGGACCTATGGCCACCAAATGGGCCCTGCCATGTCCTAGCTCACCTTCTTTAGTCCCATGAACTGCTTCGGTTCCTATTAGCCATAGACTGGGAACCATGATGAGAATTTTTTTTAAAATCCCATTTCCTCTTTTATTAACTTTCCTTTTGCCTGCGCCCCTCCCATATAAGGACATTTCCCTTTAATATCATAGCTCACTGAAACAGTGAGAAACCCTCACATCAGTGCAGCAGTTAACAGGTGGGACGATGGTCTCCCTTCAATGGTCTTATTTAAGCCTCTCGACAACCCCACGAGGCCGATGGGACAGGGATCATTGCTTCCACTTTGGAGGTGTGGCCGCCAGGGACCGGAGACGTAAAGTGCACTGCCCCAGGTCACACAGCTGGTGCAGCTAAAGCCAGAACCCAGGTCACAGTGCTGGAGGACCGAGACCAGACCACCGCGGAGGGCAGAGAAGGCAAAAGCAACATGTCTGGGCTGCGCTGGAGCCAAAATGAACATTTTGCCACAGGCTATAAATAGGCCGTGCATTTGCTAGAGCCTGCTCGCCCACGGGGTGGCAGCTCCAATCTCAAGAACACAGCAACATGCTGCAAAGTTTGCACTGCGGCATTCGGGCGGCAGGGACGCGATGTTTCCGTCCTGTCTGTGCTCTGCCGTGGGCAGCGAGGCTCTCTGTGGTCTCTGCTCTGAGCAGCACCCCCGGCCCCATCCCATGCCGGAGTCTCGAGCCACTGTGGACACCGAGCAGACTCCCCTCAGGACCTTCCAGAAGAACTCCTTCCTAACCAGATAAGACTGAACACCCTGGGGGGCAGATCCGTCTGAGGGTTTACACATGGAATAAACACTCAACCCAGACCTCTGAGACACTCCTGCGTGAACAAAGCGGCCAGCAAAGACTTTCAGGGAAGGCCCATCTCAAAGTACCAAAAATCCAAGAAGGGGAGAGAGAAAAGTGGGGTGAGAAGGTAGGGGCTGTCCCATGCCAAGTGGAAGACAGGCAGCCTGGGGTTTTGGGTCACGAGGAAGACGGCCACACCATCTGTTCTGAAGCAGAAGCCACGGCTGGAAATGCTACTCGGAAAAGAATCGCAGCGCACGGCACAGAGTGAAATCACAGCCACGCCTCCGCCTGTGTTTGGCTCGGATCGGAACACGGGGTGTGTCTGTGTTTCTTGCAAACAGGAGGTGGCCAGTGCCCAGTGCGGTGCCTTTACGGATCATTTTTATTAATTTATATTTCTTGGAGTTATTATCCACCATGTGCCAGCCGCTTGCCGGGCCTGAGGATATGGGGGAGGGTAACCCAGCCTTTTCTCTAAAAGAGATCATGTCCTCCAATTTGGAGCATTATTTTCTTTTTCAAAATGGGTCGTTTCTGGACCTTACATGGTACTGTGTTAGGTTTTATGAGTTTTGAAGGAAAACGTATTAAATCAATTTGCTATGTTTTTAAATTTCTTTCTCATGTTCCTCCTTAGATTTGCATATGAAATGACCACTAGTACCCTTAACTGATACATAGGAGGCTTAATACAACCTTGTAACGTCTGTCAGTTAGTAAACTCGCCAGCCCACTCAGTGGCCCTTCAGACACCCGAGGCCTTCCATGACACTCGAGACAAGATCTCTGACATTGACTGGGGGCTCCCTGTATACACTAGGCACGGTGCAAAGGGTCTCTGCTCATTTAATCTTCACACCGATGCTATGAGACAGGTGTTACTATTGTCCCCTCTATAGACAAGAAGACCGAGGCTCAGGAAGTGTCAACAACAGGCCCAATCCCGTCACTAAGCAGCCGAGCAAGGGTCCACGCCCAAGCAGACAGACTCCTGCGCTCTCGGCTCCACCCAGAGCGCCTGCAGTGCCGGCCTCAGAGCCCCTCTCTTCTCCCTGGGAAATGGAGAGATGAGCAGGCAGTTCTCACGCTGCTCCGGGGCCTTCGGGAGGAAATGTTCCCACGCGACTGTGGCTTCCAGCCACTGCCGTCTCCTTGCTCCTGCTCTCCTTTCAGCCTCTTCTGAAATGGGGCACCAGGAGCTGAGAGGGGCATCCTAGGCGCAGCCTGTCAGCACAGAGCAGAGGGCCACCTGCCCTGGGGGGGGACATGCAGCCTGCAGGCACCTCGGCTCCCTGGCAGCTGTGCTCACCTGGTAACTCACACTAACCTTGAAGTCAACCAAGACTCCAGCATCTCCTTTGCTCTCAACACGCAGTCCTCCTCGGCCACACCTCTACCACCTCTGGCGCAGGGGACTTGATTTGTTCTAATATAACCTTCTGTTAGGACTGTTAGATTTAAGGATCTTTGATGGAATCAAATGTTCCAGCCTGTTAAGGTTCTCTGCACCCCGATTCTGTCATCCAACCTATATCCCAACTTCTAAAATTTCTACATGCTGTTTTCTATAATTCCGTCCGAGTTACTGACAAAAGTTCAAAGAGCACAGAGGCCCATAGCTATCACTAGAGACCACACCCCAAAGATCCTCAGTCCAAGAGGAAGAGCTTATTGGCCACATGGCGACTCATATAACTGGGTTCTCATTCTGTTGACTTTCCTCCTGAGCCAGGGCAGATGAGGGGGAGCCGGGGCATCGGAATGAAAAGGCTTAGCTCCTGCCTTAGGAGAATAGGGAATCAGACTGGGAATCGGGGGAACAGGGATGGAACCCAGGCTCTGCCCCGAGCGGTGGAGGGCTTCTGGAAAGCCCCGTCAGCTCTCTGAGCCTCTGTTTCCTCACCTGCAAAATGAGATAAGAATTGTTGCTTCACATGGTTATTAGAAAGATTAAATAAGATAAGGTATAAAAAAGCACTTTGTCACCTGTCACACATCAGACAGTGGCAAAGGATTCAGGGGTTGATAGTGAGTAGTTGACAGTTTGTTTGCAGCTAAGGCACTGAGCCGGGGTCACAGGGCAGGGCGAGGTGTGAGGCACCTCTGTCTTGTCCCGGTGCCCAGCACCTTCCTCGGCAGGTGTCCACCGAGCACGGCTGAGTGGAGGGGACTCAGAATCAGCAGACAGGATTTAGACAACAGGTGAGGCAATGCATTCGGTAAATCACAGGCAGGCCCCGGGTCTTCCTACAACTGCACTGTCTCGAGCCCTGGGGTTTTAGCTCCATGAAAAGAAAGAGCAGAGAGAAGAACGCGTTTGCTGCCGGACTGCAGTCCTAGGATCTCACTCACCGACCAGGCAGTGAGAATGTGTCTGAGAAAAAGCTTTGTGAATTTCCCTAAAGTCACAATTGACATGATCAAAGTTTTACTTACACAGCAGAACACTTTTGCTGCCATATGCTGGTCAAACTGGCCAAGGATGATCCTCACGTCATTGTCCTGTGGACAGAAAGACACACATGTGAAGGTGAGCAGATGATGGTCAGCATGCTCGAGGCCGGGGCAGAGGACGTCTGTGCCGCCCCCCCCCGCCCCCCACCCCCGGCTTCCAGCCAAGAGCCCTGCCTGAGCAGGGCAGGCAGGGAACACCTCCTCCCAGCCGGGCCTAGCCTGGATCCTCCGGCCCTCTTTGGGGTCCGCTGGCCCCTGGCCCCTGCTGTCAGCCCTCCTGGTCTGTCTCATGGGCAAGCAGTGGGATGTGTCTACACAGGCTGGAGGCTAAAGCTGACCGCTGCGAGGGGCCTTGGCCTCGCCCCTGCTCTCCGGCAAACCCTGCAGGGCACAGAGACGGTGTCTAATCTTCTTCCTCTCTCTACATGTAGGGAAACTGAGGCCAGAGGAGAGAAGGGAGCTTCCTAGGTCCCCAGGATGGTATCTACAGAAATGAGACAGGAAACCCAGCCCACCCCACCCCCACCCTGCCCATTATTCTAGATTTGTCTACCTTCCTGGAACCCACAAAGCTTCCTAATTAAATTTCAGAGTCTCTCTGAGTTCTGAGCTTTGTTCGAATATCGGGTCTTCAAGGGTGGCCTCAGGTGGCGCCTTCTTCTCCATCGAGGCTTCAATTTTCTGATCTGTGAACTGCGGACAATGGTGGTACCCACCTTTCAGTTGCTGGGGGCACACAGTAAATGCCCAGTAAGTACTAGCTAGTATTCAGATTTTATTACCTCCCCCACCCATCTTCATTTAAAAAAAAAAACACAACAAAAACCTATGTTCAAAATCTCCGTAAGTGGTTCTTATCTTATTATCTCAATGTGGATAATATGTATAAGTTATACAACAGCTCTTTTGGCTCATTTATTAATTCAACAAACATTTACTCCATGTCTGTCTGAGGCTCCCTCCCCTGCCAGGGTAAGTAAGGGGCCCTTGGTTGCTTTCCAGGGGGTGAGGGTCCAGGCTGGGCCCTACCTCACAGAGAACAGGCGGACGGAGGGTGTGCGGGGCGGCCACCAGGAGGCCAGCTGGGCCCTGGCCTGCGTGCCGGCCCGCACCCGTCACGTCCTGCCTTCTGCAGTGAGGCTCAGCCCTGCAGGTGGCGCTACCTTCCACCATGCATCCCGTCCTCTCCCTCAGGCCTCAGAGCCCTTTGATGCACAAAGAAGAGACACATGCTTTTAAAGATCAGTTTTTAGCATCTTTCAAAATTGGAAAGTGCTGACTGGGAGGCCATTTTACTCATCATGTACTTTAGCAAAATAAAAAAGGCTTGGATTCTAAAATCATCCTTCGTTTGCAAGCAAGAATGGAAAGCAGAAGAAGAAAAAAACTTGCTCTGAAAGGACTTTCAGAGATCATTAACAGAGCAGTTGAAGGAGGGCCAGCCTTTGTCATCACCATGTCCGCAATGCTATACAAAGTTCTGGGCTGCTTCCGTTCTGTGGACACGCTCCCAGGCACACTCCGGGGTCTTTCTGCTTGCTTGTTGAAATCTTTTAGCATTTCTTGCTGCTAAAAGTATCCATCCAGCCATCCAACAGACATTTATGGAACATCTACTTTGTGCCAAGTCCAGTGTTGCTAAACATGGTACAGTAGAAACAGCTATTGGATTTTGCAGTTAGAGAGACCGTGGCTAAAATCCTAGCTCCACCACTGACCAGCTGCAAGACCCTGGGTCGAACTCTCCTGAAACCTCAATTTCCTCATCTCGGAAAGAGAGAATGCTACCTATCTTGCAGGTAGCTGCAGGATTCCTGACATGAAGCCCACCTATTGGCTTCCATGATGCTCCCTTCTGGGTCCCTCCTACCTCCTGCTCACTCCCGCTCAGAATCAGCTCCTCATCTTTCTGTCCCTAAATGCTGGTGTTCCACTCAGTGCTGCCCTCGTCACTCTCCTTGGGCAACCTATTCATGACACCAGCCACAAATCCCGTGTGCCGTGGACTCCAAAATCTCTCTCCGCAGCCCAGACTCGTCCCCAGCGGCTCACTGGACACCTCCGTGGATTCTCCAGGCACCTCAAGCTCCACGTGTACAAGCCCTTTCCTCCTCCTGTATTGTGCATCTCTGAGACTGGTGGCACCAACCTCCCCTCCCCCTGCTGGGAAGATTGGCAGTCATCTTAGAGTCACTCTTCTTCATCCGAGCCACAAACAGAGCCGTTGGTTCTGCCAGTCACAGCTCCCAAATCATCCCTGTCCCTCCAGCCCCATGGCCCGGGTTTAGCCACCACCATTCCCTACTCGGTGAACCACCGCTGCCTCCCACCCCAGTCTGCACAGAGCAAAGGTCATCCCCAAATTCCAATGTGATCATGTAAATGTTTTCATGGCTCCCTGAGCTTTACAGATCCAGCTCCGAGCTCTTCAGTGGAGCATGCAGGACTCTTGCGTGCTCTCAATCCATTTCTCACGGGTCCTCACTTCTCAACTCCTCCACAGCAGTGAGAATGAACCACCTGCAGGTCTGCTCTTCGTTCAATTGTTCGTTCATTCATTCATTCATTTTCTCACTGTATCCCCCCTTTCTTTCTGTAAGCTCATCCATGCAGAATGTCTTTCCCTCCCACCCCATTCATTTGGCCTGGCTAGTTGCTACTCACCCCCCATGCCTTCGCTCAGGCGCCCCTACTCCGAGAGGCCATCTCTGTCCCATCAGTATTGGTGGCCATGTACTCCTCCGTGGTTCCAGAGCACTTTATCATGGCACAAGACAACTTACTTGTCTGTCTTCCCCACTGGACTAAGGGCAACTTGATTCATCTCTGGGTCCCAGCTCCCAGCACAGGTCATAGCATAAATATCAACAAATAGGTATTGCATCGTGCATGATGAAGTGAATGAAAGCCTGGCTCCCACCGGTTATTCGGCAGCTGGTGTCATCGCTGCACTGATATCCTGTTGCCCTAGGGCCTAAGCACTGCCTGGGTTCACCATGCCCATTTCTTGAATGGACCAAGGGACCCACATCTTCATGGCTGACCACCTGACACCTACTGACAGATAATAACCAGCTCTGCCCTTTGTGGGCCATTTAGTGTCTCTGTCGCCTTGACAACCGAGTTGCATGGATTGCTTGGTCTGTGCTCCTAGACTGTTAGCATTGGATGGGGCCCAAGGGATCAGTGATCTAGTTAACCTCTTCCCAGAGAGGCAAACAACTTCCTCCAAGACTTCACATCACCCCAGAAGCAGTGCTCTCACCCTCATGCTCCCGGCCGTTAGAGTGCCCCAAGGAAAGACCCTATCCAGAGCCGGGCTGTACCTGCTCCAGGGAGCTATTCACACCCACCCTAATTCTAGATGGTCAGAGGGCAAGATGCTGCCAAGTCTGGGAGGAAACAGGACAAGCCAGCACCCAGTGCAGCTGGAACCTGAGATCTTGGGGTCGGGAGGAGGATAAAGGGAGATGCAGCTGGACTGGCACCCTTAGTGGGGGCCTGGAGAGCGGTTTGAAGAGTGGGAGGTCCTTTTCTTTTCTTTTCTTTTTTGGTACGTGCTCCTAGCAGGGGCTGAACTCGGGACTCTCTGGTCCGCAGGCCGATGCTCCAACCGCTGAGCCAAACCAGCCAGGGCTGGGAGGTCTTTCAAAGCAGGGTATGAGCATCCCCAGGGCATGAGGAGTGGTCCTGTGAGTATAAAAGTGTGATATACATGGTTCATCTTTCTGGAGCAGCAGTTTACTGGAAAAGAGATAAGGGGAAAGGTTTTGGATTTGTGGGATCTTATCAGTTTTTAACACACATAGTATGCTCTCACGGAAGTTCCAGAATAACGCTTTAAAATGTTGCATAACTAGCATCTTTTCCTGGAAGTCCAGAGTGGAGAGATAAATTCTGTATTGGTAGCGGCCCCTGCTTCTGGCCAAGCTCCCCACCTCCCAGCCAGGGGTACATGCACACTCCCCTCTGTGGTCGCAAGGGTCTGGGGACAGTTTAAGGAGCTTGAGGGAGGGGGACATGAGGGAGGAGAGCCATACGTGTCCCTGAGGATGACAGTGACAGAGCAGAGCTGTGATGTCACAGAGAACCTGGAACAAGGCAGAGGTCAGGGCCTTAAGAATTCAGGCCCTTCCACGGACTCTGGCTCTGCAGGAGGCCGCCGGAGTGCCAGTAGATGACCTGAGATTGGACGAATGACAACTTCCTCTCAGATGGCTAGACCGAAGGCTGCAGACCAGAGTGGAAACCTATGGTCATGCCCTCAAGAAGCCACGCCCATAGGGAAGGGGCAAAAATGGAAGGAAATGGCCATGACTTGAGGGATGGGAGGCGAAAACTGTGGGGGGATTTCCTTTCCTCTTTCCTAGGCTAGTCTCATTTTTTGTCTGGAACCCCTTCGTCTCAGAGACCTCTAAAGGGAGCAAAAATCACACACATACAAAAGTGACACTTGAGAAGGATGACCCAGTTCAAAACCCCTCCAGTGTGCAGGGGATGCAGCAAAGCCAACGTAAAGGACAGTCCCTGAACCCCTTCAAGCACGGTGCTGAGCAGTACATCGGTCTCGGTGTGGGATGCAGGTGTTATTCTTATGCCCACTCTGGAAGGTCTCACAGCAAACTGAGGTCCCTCTCCCCCAAACTGAGACTTTCCCAGGCATAGCGACACCCCGGGCCCCTCTGGACTCTGTCCTCGAGACTGCAGTAAGGGTGCACTGCTGACGGCTCGCTCCCTCTCAGCGAAGGGGAGCTTCCCGCCCCAGGAGGCGAGGCCAGGCCCTCGCTCCACAGCAGCCAGGGACTGACGCACAGTGGAAGACCCCAGCCCCTCTGCAGAAAGGCGGGCCCAGCTCCACGGTGCAGGCTCCAGAGGCCTGGCGGGGCCGGGCTAACCGGTCTCCACCAAGACAGCATTCTGGCCTCACTCCCCTCCAGCCTCATCCTGCTTCTCCCCCCTTCTCCTGAGTATACTCTCCGTACACATTTTCACAGAAATCTCAGGCCCTCTTTCTAGACTAAGATGCTCACATAGGAAGCAGAGGTGCC